GACTTAGCATCCTAACCTAAAAGCAGCCACAGAGGAAAGTAATGAGTGGGAGTGGCTGGGTCTCAATAAAGCTTTATTGATAAAATCAGCCAAGGGGCCATAGCTTGCCAACTCCTGGTCTAGCCCATTCCAGGCATTTGGCTTTAACAGGTGTCAGGGAAGTAATAGTTACTGTGCTGTTACAAAGAAGAGGAACGCGGAGCTCAGAGAAGTAGAGGGATTTAGGAAGGACAGCCACGCGGCTGGTCTGGGAAGTAGGTGGGGGCTCCACGCCTGGTCTCAACATCCACCCTCAGAGCGGGGTGTCCCCTCTGCCCCATGCCGTTGCAGGTGTAGAGAGCAGCCTGCGTGTGACCCACTGCCGCCAGATCCTGCGCGGCCTCCCCGAGCACAACTACGCCATCCTCAGCTACCTCATGAGCTTCCTGCATGTGGTGAGTGGCGGCTGGCACGGCTTTGGGTCTCTGTCCTCCATGTCAAGGCCTGTGTCCCTAAACTGTTGAAGAGGAACTTCATCACTCCCATGTGCACGGTACTTTACAGGGGTTCCCTACAGCCCCCTGACAGGTGTACCACAGAAACCTGGCAGCACAGGCCAGAGGCTCCAGGCTTCCCCTCCTTCCAGTCATCCCCTTCACACACACACACACAGGTTCACACACACAGGTTCACACACCCAGGCACTCACACACATACACAGGTAGACACACATGCACTCACACACACGTACTCACACATACATATACTCACATACACAAGAATTGGCCAGTGAAAACCTTATGAATAGCAGTGAAACACTGTCTGACATATTACTGGAAAACTTTATGAATAGCCCTGAAACATTGTCCAATATAGTGCCAGAAGGTGAGCCCCTCAGGCCGGAAGGCACTCAAAATAGGAAGAGCGGACTCCTCAGAGAAGAGATGATCTTAATGATGTGGGACCTCCATTGGCTGATGGGCACGTCTCAAGTTGAGAAGAAACAGCTGCAAATATCCATTAATAACTGGAACATGGAATGTACAAAGTGTGAATCTAGGAAAATTGGAAGTTGTCAAAAATGCAATGGAACATGTAAAGATCGATATCCTAGGTATTATTGACCTAAAATGGACTGATTTTGGCCATTTTAAATCAGACAACCATATGATCTACTGTGCTGGGAATGACAAAATGACAG